TGCGTGCGTGTGTGTGTGTGTGTGTGTGTGTGTGTGTGTGTGTGCGCGTGCGCGTGTTGCTACAGTGCACATGTGGCATTCAGAGGATAACTTGTGAGAGATGGCTCTCCTCTTCTACCATGTGAGTCTCAGGATTGGATTCAAGTCGTCAAGCATGGTCACAAACACCTTTACTCTCCCAATCTCTTGGCAGGTCACCAGGTGGGCAAAGAGGCGATTATACCTCCCCGTTTGCCACTGGCAAATCCTTGTTAGCCACTTCTGTGTTCGTGGCCTTGGTTGTTCACGGAGCTAGCATTCTGGCATTGCAGACCCCTACCATCTTATGTGATAATGTCGGGATCCTGGGATGCTAATGGCTGGGCCCGATGGAGCTGGGCTGCCCACCAGTGTCCCAGTTCAGGCAGAGCTCCTGCCTCTGCTGGACCACAGGCTGGCCTGGGCCCCCACGTGGTCTGCAGCTTGCTCACCACTCCAGCTCCTTCTCAGAGAAGGAGGCATCTCTGAGGTGGTCCACAGCCCTTTGTCATGATCGGGGCTGGACAAGTTGAGGCTGACTGCCACCAGGAGGCCCCATGAGGTGACAAGCTGGCCCTGGGTATGGGGAGTGTCGGGGAGCTTCAGGATGACTAGAAGAGGTGTGGAGGCCTCAGAAGGTGCTGTGGCAATTGCTGGCTCTGTTCCGGGCTTGTGGGTTCACAGGACCTCGATGCCTCCTGCAATACTGACTACAGCCAGCAGAGGCCGCCCTAGCCACTGCCGGAGTTCTTGAAGTTCTTTAAGCCAGTGTTACCCTGGAGAACAGAGCCTGTCCTGTCCTGGGAGCATGCCTTCCCAGGCACCAGCTTTGCTGGGATGGTGGCACATAGGGCACCATAGGAGGTCCCTAGTGGGCACTCAGGTGGCCTATCAGCTGCTATTTGTAAAACTCCTACTATGTGTCAGCCCAGTCAGCTAAATACTGACAGAGCCAGTAATGAACCACTAAAGAGGGCAGAGCTACGTGGTAGTGAGGGCAGATGCTTTTTTTTTTTTTTTTTTTGACAGGGTCTGATGTAGCCCAAGCTGATCTCAAACTTGCTATGTGTCCAAGGATGACTTTGAACTTACTTAAAAAATAAATCAGTTTGAGTGCGCACACACAATGTATGTGTATGGGTGTGTAGGTCAGAGGACAACTTTTGGACTTGATCTTCTCCTTCTACCTTTGTGTGGGTTCTGGAGATTGAGCTCAGGTTGCTAGGGTCATGCGGCAAGCAAGCACCTTTACCCACTGAGCAATCTCCCAGGAACTGTGTACCCTCCTTGTGTCTCGGTTTCCCCTTCTGTGAAATGGAAGTGGTTCTAGATGTACCCTTTTCTGAGGACTTCCCCCACAAGGACTGTCAGGTTAGTGCAGTATTGGACTTACAACAGCAATGTCTAGGAGAGTATTCTCTGTCCTTCCCTTCATAAGGGTTATTTATGGCTAGACCCTCGCTCCGAAAGACAGACTTAGAAGAGGAGGAAGCTGCCTTTCTTATTAGCATATATTCACTGAACAAAACAGTGATGCCATCATGCCGTTTTCACACACATTTGTAACGTGCTTTGATCATATTTAACTCCCATTGCCATCCCCTGCCTCTTCCTTCCAGCTGAGCATGGTGGCCCACACCTATGACCCCAGAACTTTGGAGACCGAGGCAGGAAGCTGGCTGTGAATTCCAAACCAGCCTGGGAGAAGGAGTGAAATCTGTCTCCAGTCGACAAAGCTCCACCCACAAAGAGCCCCTTGTACGTTCAAGTCTTCCTCTCTTCCTTTGCCATCCCAGGGATCGAACCCAGGACCTCAGGCATGCCAAGCACGCACTGTATCACCGAGCTACAGCTCCTAGCAGTATGTGCCGTACTTTTTAAATTCTGCATTCTTTGTAGGAGAGGAAACTGATGACGTCTGCCTTTCTGAGCCTGGCTTGTTTCATTTAACGTGATCTCCAGTTCTGGCCCTTTCCCTGCAAACGACAGAACTCCATTCTTTACGGCTGAAGAAAACTGCATTGCACAGACTCACATTTCCCTCATCTGTTGATGGGCGCCCCGGCTAATTGCACAACTCGGCTGGTGTGAGGAGTTCTCAGTCGCCTCTGTGATAAAGCACAAGCATTTAGTACGGATGTAAAGTTTTATGATACCTGGAGCCTTCCAGAAATAGAAACCCAGGTGGAGGAGGAGGAGGAGCATACAAAGATCCACCTCAAGCTGAGGGGTTCTTGGTAATTACTGAGGGAGGGGGAGTCATCTTTGTTCAGGGTGTAACCACTAGAAAATTGCCTTCGATCCATTCAGTAACACACACCCATGTATAAGTCTGCTGGCAAGCTTAATTAAATTCAGTGGGTCATTAAAAAAAAAAAAAGGAATGGTAGTTGGAGAGGAACTTGTTGGGAAGAAGAAGGGGTCCAGATGGGGTAGGAGGGGACAAGAGAGAGATGGGGTGATTATGATCAAAATACATCATACATAGGCTTACTGATTCTCCAGAGGACCCCAGCTGTCAGGGCTCACAACTGCCTGTAAGTTTAGCTCCAAGTGGATCCAAAGCCTCTGGCCTCCAAGGACACCCACATTCAGGTACATGTACATACAGACACATACAATATACATAATAAAAATAAAATTTAATAATAAAAAAAAATAGCCGAGTGGTGGTGGCGCACGCCTTTAATCCCAGCACTCGGGAGGCAGAGGCAGGCTGATCTCGTGAGTCTGAGGCCGATCTGGTCTACAGATCGAGTTCCAAGATAGGTTCCAAAGTTACACAGAGAAACCCTGTCTTCAAAACCAAAACCAAACCAAGCAAAAGAAACATTGAAAAATACACTATATACATGTAGTGTATACACTACATACATGTATAAAATTGTCAAAGACTAAATAAAATAGTATTTCAAAAGAAAAAAATGAAGACACAGGACTGGGAATGTAACTAAGTTGGTAGGGTGGCTTGCCCAGCAGGCATGAAGCCCTGGTGTGTGTGTGTGTGTGTGTGTGTGTGTGTGTGTGTATGTGTGTGTGTGTGTGTGGTGTGTGTGTGTGATTTTTTTTAAAATTAAATGAATTTGTTTTTGCGGGTGGAGATATGTACATGCCTCGAACATGTGTGAAGGTCAGAGGGACAACTTTCGACAGTCAGTTCTCTCCTTCCGCCATGTGGGTCCCTGGGATTGAACTTGGGTGGTCAGGCGTGTATCTTTACCCAGAAAGCCATCTCACCAGCCTCCAAGGCCCAGTTTAGATCCCCAGCATTGGAGAGCGGAGGCAGGGAGGATTGGGAGTTTAAGGTTATCCTCAGCTCCGTTGTGAGTTCACGGCGAGGCTGTGTGGAGCCTTGTTTCAAATAAGAAAGACCCAAAGAAGGGGGAAGTCTGTGCGTTTGCATGCTGGTTTGCGCTTGAGCCTGAGAGTGACCGTAAATACTATTATAGTGGAGAACACCGGGGCAAAGGTGGGTGTGTGTTCACAGATGGTGATAAGCTGGGCGGGGCCTAGCAAGAACAGTCTGTTCAGGTTCTCCCCTGCCCTGCTGTCAGGGGCAAGCATAGAGTGAGGGGTTCAGGCCTGGCTTCATGGCGGGAAAGGGGGGGGTAAAAAGAGGGGGACCTTCTTGTCTCTGCTTCCTTCCCAAATGTCTAGAATGGATGTCCTGGACCCCATTAGTGTAGTAGCTAAATTCACTTGGACATGGGTGTCTGGGCTTGCCTGCCTCTTCTATCTGCTGGCTGCCGGCCTGAGCAGGCTACCGGTCCTGCCCGTGGGGCCACACCACCTGCCTGCTGGTGTACAACCAACCCTGTAATTTTCTATAAAGGCTAAAGTCCCAGAGCGGGCACCTTGATAAGGTGCCGCACATACTTCTGGTAGGGGAATGCGGTTTATCAGGAAGGGACTCTTGGCTCCAGCCCTGGGCAGCCACCCAAGGCAGCCAATGCCACAGGTAAGGTCCAGCAGCAAGGGAGGAGCAGCTAGGACTACCCAGAGACTGGTGTGCCTGCCAGGAGGTGCCAGGAGCCTGGGCCTCTCGGACTGGGCCAGGCAGGGCACTGGACCAACTGCAACCTTTAGGATCCACAGGCCTCCGGCTCAAGCGGTCGGGACTTGAGCAGTTACCTCTGGCCTCGGCAGAAGGAATACATTTAGTGTGGAGACAAAGGGCACTCAGCAAGGGTGTGTCAGGAAAAGAGAAGTCCAGGGGTTACGGCAAAGTCTGAGGTAACCGGGGCTACCGATGTCACCCGCCTTCTTCTCCCCACTTCTCACTTCGGCACGGCTGCTGGCTGGAAGAGGTCCTCAGACCAGCACCTCCTGGTTCCCATTTTATAACTTGGGTACCCTGGAGGTAAAGAAGACGAAAGGATCTGAGTGAGGTAACACAGTGGACACAACCTGGGTCTCCACGTCTCCATGTCCCTCCTCAGTGGAGACAGGGTTTCTCTGGGTAGCCCTGACTCTCCCGGAACTCGCTCTGTAGACCGGGCTGGCCTGGAACTCATAGTGATCTACCTGCTTCTGCCTCCCGAGTGCTGGAATTAAAGGTGTGTGCCACTGCCTCCTGGCACTATTCATTTCTGTAAGGGTCCAAAAAAATCACTGATGGTGGCCTTGATCTGGAGTCTCAAGAGAGACTCAAGTTGTTGTTGTTGTTGTTGGTGTGTGTGTGTGTGTGTGTGTGTGTGTGTGTGTGTGTGTGTGTGTAGGGGATGCAGAGTATCTGTACACCTCCAAAACCAGCCTGGCCACCAGGCAGGCTCAACGGCACAGGTCCCAGGATTTAGCTCGTTCAGTTTAACCTACTTCAGCAGCACTGTGCATGTGGGGTTGCCATGGTGAGCCATGCCGGCTGCATCCTGGAGTTCCTGCACGCTCTTTGAAATTGCCGATGCCCAGGTCTCCCCGCTTCCTCCAGGCCAGGGGCACCAGAGTCTTTGCAGGGGGTTGGGGGTGGGCCCAGGTGTTTACTAACATGCTGTGGGAAGTTGTAATTCACAGACAAGGGCTGATTAGAAGTCAGAGAAAAAACTGTGCTGGAGCCACGGTCCCAGCCCCTGTTTCCTTTTCTCAGGCCGCCTTGCTGCATCGGGTCTACTGTGAGCCACGAGACATCGTGGGGAAAGTCCCGGATATCGTCATGCGTGACAGCCTCTAATTAATCATCAACCCTGTAACGTGATCTCTAGCCTATAAAAAGGGAACCTTCAGAGTCTCATAAACCTGACCACTGGCCTTCACAGACATCTCCAGAACCGAGGACTTGTGTCCCAGGAGGAGCCCAGACTAATGGGTGCCCGCCTCAGTCCTGAGGCCAGTAAGTAGACTTCCTGTATGCCCGGAGTTCACTTCTGGAGTCTAAGACTGCAAGGGAGTACAGGTGGGAGAGGCCTGGAAGGGGGACAAGGGAGACCCTGAGCCATTGTCACCTAGAGTGGGTTTCTGACAAGATCTGCACGAGCGAGTGAGCTTCCGGTCTTCCCAGGAATCCAGCGGAGGCTGGGTGACTCAGGCCCAAGATGGCTGCAGAGATAAACATCCCTCCTCCTCCACCCGCTGTCTCTAATCGGTGTTCATCCAGGAACCGGACACAGAGAGAGAAACAGGACTGAGGTGGGTAGAAGGGTAGAGCTTTTGGAGGCCCGGTAGAAAAGGAGGGATGTCAGCTTCCCCAAATTAGAGATGGCACCAGGGGGCAAGTCATTCTGTCCCTGTGCCCTTGGTTTTTCTCATCTGAAGGTTGGGGACAATGCCACCTGCCCTGATGGCCTTCAGGGCTCCAAATACAGAAGTCTAAATGGTAACGAGATAGGAAGTTTCTCTGAGACTCTTACCTGTACCTGTGGTCATGGTGCCCCTCAGCAGAAGGACCTGGGCGAGTGGGCAGGAGATAGCATTCCAGGTCTTAGCACAGAGACTGGGACCAGGCACCCTGGAGATGCCTCGCAGGCAGAGCAGGACCCCTGCTTGGGCTCCATGGCAAGCACCCAAGGCTCACTCAGAGTGGACAGCCACACCCTGAGAAGCCACCTCTGCTGGGGCAGCTGTGTTTGGCTTCAAGGCAGGGCGGTAACGCCAAAAGCTATGTAGTATAACAGGTACAGGGGTGTGTGTGTGTGTGTGTGTGTGTGTGTAGCTGAGCCCACGGTCTCCTTGGGGCTGGGAGGCCTGGAAGGGATCTTTCCTGAGACTCCCCCCCACCCCCACCCCCAATCTCTGAGTGTTTCTACATAGGATGCAGAGATAAGGACCGGAGGCTGCAAAGGGCGGAGTGGGTGCCTGGCACCCCAAAAGCCTTGGTGGCTGGAGGGGTGGTGATGAAGATGCTGACCATCATCTTCATCACCATCGAGGAGCAGGCAGATGATGATCCCTTCCTAAAATTCCCAGAGCCTTCCCTGCAGACACTATAATTTGCCTTCATCTGCCCAGGGCTGGAGATGACCCTAAGGACATGACTTGTGTGTCCTGAACTTCCTAGCAGTCTGGGTCAAGGCCAGCGATGTCCCTTCCTTACAGCAGTGGGGGACACAAAAGTGGGGTCATTGAAGAGGGTCCTCCTCTTACTCTGTTCCATGGAGCCTCGGGGTCTGACCTGAACGTGGGGCCCAGAACAGGAATGCTAACCTCTGAACCCTGTGCCAACCCTGCCAACTGGGGCAGCCCTAATTAGAGAGCCGTGTTTAGCGTGTGCCCACCTCTGCCACCCACCCAACCCAGCAGTGCGATCTGTCGGGTTGCGAAACCCAAGGGTGGGAGGATTCCTGCAAGGCTCTGTGGAAGGGGCAAGGCAGGACGGAGATGGCATCTACCCCTCTAGTGCCACGGAGACACAGCTCTAAAGTCAGGAAGCAGAGCTCATTGTAAAGGAAAGGGTGGAGCCCCTGTCGGGGACAAAGTCCTGAAGGCCTTTTATAGACTCGCTGGGCGAGGGTGGCTTTCAGCCCTGCTCAACCTGGGCTGTGTGCCGTGATTAACCAACACGAGCCGAGAGAGAGAGAGAGAGAGAGAGAGAGAGAGAGAGAAGAGACCAAGCCTCAAGAGACCCCTTGTTGCTTACCTGTGGTGACACCTCCTGACAGTCACACTCAGGGAGTGTTACCCAGAGGCTACCGAAGGTAGGGATACAAGGCCTGAGCATGCAGTTGGGAGAAGGTGGGTCAAGGGCTCTGGTCACCTAGGGACCCATGGAGGCAGCTCTGTCCCCTCAGCTTCCCCCTGTAACACAGGACATGAGAACATTAGCTCTCGCAGGCTGCGAAGGCTCCTGAGTGGTGAGGAAGCTTTGCCCACTCAGGCTGCCCCCCGGACCAAGGCTTTCTTTTCCTGGGGTGCCAAGGGACTCTTGCGTCCCTCAGAGGCCATTCCTAGGGCAGTCCCCCTTCCTCCTGAACTGATCCCCCCCCCCCACCAGCCAGACTCCTTTTTCTCCTCTAGGAAGTAGATGGGGCAGTGAACTGACCTTCTCTTGCTCCCAGAACAGTCCTTCCAGGCCTCTCTCCTCCTGGGGATGGGACGTGGCCAGATGAGGACTGGCCACCATTTTGGGATGAACAGTCCAGAGTTCTCAGACCCAAAGGGGATGTGAACCCTTCCCACTGAGGCTGTAGTGGACGATGCTGGGGCTCCAACTTGGCTCTATTTCTGCTCTTGTGGTGGACCAGAGTTGTAGCTTGTGGCTCTCAGGAGAGGACACCCCACTTCTTCCGGCAGCAGGGTCGCAGGCAACTGTCTCCAGCATCCACTCTCGTCCAGACCATTGCTCAGGTCCCTTACCAAGCCTACCCCTGGGCTTCTCCTGAGTCCTTCACCTCAGTGGTGGCTGTGACTCAGCTGAGTGACTGGGTGGGCCCTGGTGGTAGCCCCAGGAGTCCTCAGTCCTGTGTCTGGCTTCCGCAAGCAGGCCCCTGGTCGGCAAGGGGAACAGGAGACAGCCAGCTGATGGGGGATGGGCTCTCTCCGGGGCCTGGCTCAAGTTCAGACTGAGTTCATCTTTCTTTTTTAGCCAGCAGTCAGCTGGCTTCCTCTCCTCTGCCCCACTTAGAGAGGAAAGGCAGGTCTCTGTGAGCAGATCAGCTCCTGCTGTCTTGGAGCCAGGGCTGAGAAGAAGGTTTGCCCTGCGGGAAACTTTCCCTCCTGGCCGCCAAGTGCCTCTGTGCGAGAAGTCCCTTGGTTCCAAAGCCCACTTCAGGCCTTGGCTGAACAGGGGCATCTCCATAGACCCTTCTCAACTTGCACCCCTGTCTTGTGGGAAACTGCTGGGTTCCCCTCTCCCAGGACCAGGAAGTCACTTTGGGGGTGGGGTGGGGCTGATGCAGCTCATCTGTGGGAAAAGGAGGTTAGAGAAGCAGAGAGGAAGGCATGGCCATCGTGGGCCACCTGTGAGGACATGCATAAGTCAGCAAGCCGGCTCTGCTCCTCCAGGCTAGGTATTTGAAAATCCATGAGTACTGCATCTCATCTAGGGGCTGGTGAGATGGCTCAGCCAGTCAAGGTGCTTGCTGACAAGCTGAACGACTTAAGTTCAATCCCCCAACCTACAAGGTAGAAGGAAGAGAACTGACTTCGGCAGGTTGTCCTCTGACTTCCACGCATGCACCCTGGTACTCCCGCACCCAATAAAGAAGTAAGTGCTAAAAAATAAAAACAATAAACCTCAACCAGGCAGTGGTGGCGCACACGCCTTTAATGCCAGCACTCGGGAGGCAGAGGCAGGCGGATCTCTGTGAGTTCGAGGCCAGCCTGGGCTACAGAGCGACTTCCAGAGCAGCCAGGACTATACAGAGAAACCTGTCTTGAAAAACCAAAAACCAACCAACCAAACAACAACAACAAAAACCAATAAACCTCATCTAAGTTCGTATGCCTAAGTGTTTGGTTTCATTTTGTTTAACAACAGCTCCCTGTCTATGTAGCCCAGGCTGGCCTGGCCTGGAACCACTTACTAGACCAAGCAAGCCTGGCACTTGCCTTCACCTCCACAGCGCTGGAATTAGAGCACCATCACACCAAGCAAAGCTGCTTTTTCTATTCAATCCCAGTAATGCCCTTGCCTCAGGGCTGTTTAGACAGGGCTTAGATATAGGTTCTTTGAACTTTCATTCCAGGCAGAAGGGGCAACTGGTTGGGGACGGAGCAGGTAGAGTGGGCTAGCTTGGTGCTTGTGGGTTGAGGCTTGAGTGTTTTGGGGGGTGGAGGGGTGCCAGGGAACTTTGGGCAGTCAAAGTGGCCCCCAGGAGGAGGCCAGGGTCGCCTAGGGTGCTGGTCGTTTTCTGGGGGAACTGGTGGGTTAGGATGGGCCCTCACTGACAGGCTACTCGCTCTGCCCCACAGACGCTGAGGTGCCCCGCGAGGCTCTTAGTTTCCACGGGGATGCCACCGGCTCGCAGGTGCATCTGGATGACCTGCGGAGCACCGCGCGTAGGCGCTCCACGTTCCACGATGGCATCGTGTTCAGCCAGCGGCCCGTGTGGCCCGGTGAGCGTGTAGCGCTGCGCGTGCTGAAACACGAGGACGGCTGGTGCGGTGGCCTCCGCGTGGGCTTCACGCGCCTGGACCCTGCGCACGTGGCCCCGGCCTGCCTGCCCCCCTTCGTGTGCCCCGACCTAGAGGAGCAGAGCCCCACGTGGGCAGCGTTGCTTCCCGAGGGCTTCGTTCGTGCGGGGAATGTGGTCTGCTTCTGGGTGAACCGCCGAGGCTGGCTCTTCGCCAAGGTCAACGCTGGCCGCCCCCTCTTGCTGCGCAAAGACGTGATGGCCCAGGGCGCCCCGCTCTGGGCCGTGATGGATGTATACGGGACCACAAAAGCCATCGAGCTGCTGGGTGAGACAATCCTTGGGGTCCCGAACACTGTGGTTCTGGAGTGTGTGGCGTTGAGACAGAATTCCAGGTGGCTTCATGCACCTGTCTAGAGGCCCTGGTAGAACTGTTTATTCCTTCAAGTTCAGAATGCTATCAGTCCATGGCCTAGTGTAAGGATGGGCATCAGAGATTTGAAATGGGCAAAAGACTTAGCCTTGTCCTAAAGGATGATAAAATTTAAGACCAATGCCCTAAATAATGTTAGAAGGCTGGTCGTGTTTCACAAAGGAGAAAGCATTTAGATGGGGCCTTGCCGCTTAAGCAGAAGTTTACCCATACACAGGTGAAAAGTAAGCAAGCAAGCAAGCAAGCAAGCAAGCAAACAAACAAAAACAACAAACAAAACAAAACAAAAAAACAGCAAAGATGTGAGCGCTCTCAGCTGAGATCAGCAGTGAGGAAGGCAGTGGCCGCTGAAGGACTGTGTGCATGCGTGCATGAGTGCGTGCGTGCGTGCGTGCGTGCGTGCGTGCGTGCATGTGCCTGGAGCTGGGGGGCTGGTCCTGAACCTCCTTTTCTGCCTTAGATCCCAAAGCTGACGCCTGGATCACCAACGGGGAGGCAGTGCCACAGTCTGAAGGTGAGCAGACTTCCCAGCATCCTGGCACCTAGGGAAGTGGCTGGGAAGTCAGGCTGTTCAAAGCCATCTTTCTAGGTACCAGAGAGGCCTCCACAGTTCACTGCTCGCTAGAGATCCAGAAACAATGTGATGTTTCTGCCTTTTAGATCATTCCCAATTAGGAGAGTGTAATCACGAGCAGACACCCCCTCTTCTCTGGAACAGTCTCATGAGACCTAATCTAGCCTCACATTTACTCTGAACACTTCTTCAAGTGCTGGGATTATAGCTTACTTTAATCTAATTTTTTTTCTTGTTTTGATTTTTGTTTTTGTTTCTGTTTTTTTGAGACAGGGTTTCTTTGTGTAGCCTTGGCTGTCCTGGAACTAACTAGCTCTGTAGACCAGGCTGCCATGGAACTCACAGAGATCTGATGGGCTCTGCCTCCTGAGTGCTGGGATTAGAGGCGTGTGCCACCATCACCTGGCTCTCAAATTTTCTTTAAAAAAAAATTAAAAGAAAAATTGTATGCACCATGTATGTGCTGGAATCTAGCAAGTTTTTTTCCCTTTCCTTATATTCTATTTATTGTTAAGTTTTTTTTTAAATTTGTTTATTTATTATGTATACAGTGTTCTGTCTGCACACACCCCTGCAGGCCAGAAGAGGGCACCAGATCTCACTACAGATGGTTGTGAGCCACCATATGGTTGCTGGGAATTGAACTCAGGACCTTCGGAAGAACAAGCAGTGCTCTTAACCTCTGAGCCATCTCTCCAGCCCCCTATTTATTGTTAAAGTTTTATGATTAATGTAGGGATGGATGTGGGTTGGTTTGGTTTTGGTCCCCCCCGCCCTTGTACTGAGGACTAAACCTAGAACTAGGGCTTGCCCTAGGTGCCCTAGGGTCTCACGCATTAAGCAAGCCTCTACACCTCGGCTATATACCCATCCTACTTATTTTCTTTCTTTTTTTGAGACAGTCTCATGTAGTCCAGGCTGGCCTCAAACTCACTATATGTAACTGAAGATGACCTTGAACTTCTGATCCCCTTGTCCCCATTTTTATCACTACTGTTTGATTGGTCTGTAACTAATAATAAAATAGAAAAATGGTAACAACATACAGTAATAACAATTACTTAGTACTCATGATTTTTTTTTTCTAGAACTTTCCATTTGATAGTGTCAGACCACAGGTAGCTGAAATTGGGAGGCAGCAGCAAAGATAAGGGGTTGTTGTGTATTTTGTTGGTTTTTATTCGATTGTACAGAGTGGATTCTCAGGGCACAGTTCCTTGGCACACTGAGCTTTCCTGCCCTGTGGTAAGACCATGTGCAGGTAGGTGGCCTACCCTATGTGTGCCCCTGACCCATGCTATCTCCTTTTCCAGTCACGTCAGGAGAGGAGTGTGTCATCTGCTTCCACAACACTGCCAACACCCGCCTCATGCCCTGCGGCCACTCACACTTCTGCAGCGCCTGTGCCTGGCATGTCTTCAAAGACACGGCCAAGTGCCCCATGTGCCGATGGCAGATTGAGGAGGTGGCTGTCGCACCTTCAACGAAGACTGGAGAAGGCTCCTGAAGAGACGGGACCTGGCTCTGAGCCAGGCCCCTGCAAAAGGAGAAACCTCTGTCTAGACGTGGGTCAGTGAACATGGTCACAGGCCACCAAGCCTGATCTTGGGTCAGCAAGCCTTGTTAAGCCTCGAGGGAGGCTCAGTGACTCTTTCCTCAGCCACAAGTTCGGGAGAGGTTGATATGGCAAAGAGAAATCTCTCTGGCCACTTTGGGAAACCCCCAGTGTAGCAGGGGCAGCCTGAGCCCTCAAGTTACAGCTGAGGACGTGAAAGGGACGGGTCCGTGTCTGGCAGAAGCGTCAGGAGCAGGGACATAGCACATGGTGATTTTCTTGTCGATTTGTAAGATAATCAGAATAAAGTTTGTTTTTGTATTGATTGTCTCCTTTGCCATGCTCAGTGGGAGGAGGTGGCACTCGGACTGGTTAGGGCATTTGGGGACACGCTGTCCTGCCCTCCCTGACTACACTCAGTCCTACAGCGAAGGACTGCACGGAGCTCTGGGACCATGGGTTCTGTCGCTGAACGTAGCAGGGGTTGGGGCAACACTCTCAGCCAGACCTTGCGCCTGCCAGCCTGGGTTCTGGGGACTTCGGGATGCTCCTCTGACACAGACAGGTCCTAGTGGCCAGGAAGCCCCAGTCTTGGGGCTCTCTATGGAGGAACCTCTATACCCAGCACATTTGTCAAATGTTAATCGTAGTCAGTTTACACTGTTAAAATTGAGACTGGGGAACCAAAAACTCCCCTGAGTCTCTGGGAAGTAAGATTTTTTTTTGTAGAGGATTTTGGGAATCTCTGATGTGTTCCTAAGGATCTATAAGACATGTGCGTGCTCAGGGAAGGTCTGGAAGAGTCCCCAGTCTCTCGATTCTGGCTGATCTTGAGGCCTTGTGCAAAAAGGAGGTGAAGGTGTACCCGTAAACTGCCTCAGGACTGAAGGTGCCTCGGCCCCCGACAGAGTTCCTTGGCAGGTGTAGACACTTACAAGGTCAGAGCATTGTTTAAAAAAAAAAAAATCTCTGCACAATCATTAGCTGGTCAGTAACCTATCCGTACTGAGACTTCAGTTGGTGGCATGTAACAGGGGTGATGACTTTACAGAGTTTACCCAAGAAAGCTGGAGAGCTAAGGAACACACACCGCCACCACCGAGGACAAGAAAACAGCAAGAACAGAACACCTTTGAGTGGAGGTGCTTTATTCTTCAGAGCTGTCAAAATATAATATCTACGGGGATCATTTTTTCATATGTGAGAACTTGAAATAAATGAAAGCATGGCTTGTGTTTAGGGCATCTTTGGTTGCTGGAGAAAGTCCTTGAGAGAGTCCCGATGTTAGATTTACTAGACAAATACTTTAATTCAGCTGTTACAACTATGTTCGGATAACCCAAGGAAGCCATGTCTAGGAGTTAAAGGGGGGCTACGGATGTAGCTCAGTGGTAGAAAGCCTGCGTCACATGTCAAGGCTCTGCATTCAATTTCCAGCAACACACACACACACACACACCCCTCAGCTTAGAGCCTCCACCTTAAGTGGGATAAAATTGCAGTTTATACTACGGGGCCCTTTTCCCTGACTCCCTACAGAGAACCAGCTCCTGAATCAATTCTTTTCACTCATTCGTCAAACCGCCAGGCACGTGTGGTTGCTCCCTTCTGTTCCCAGTTATAAACTGCTGGGAATGAGCTAAACAAATTCATATGCTTCACAGAAAACTAGGTAGGAAACACCTCATGAACCAAGAACTCTGATAAAAAGTAGAAAATAAATGGATCAGGCTGATGACCGATGTGAGGCTTTTTCATCTCTTCATCACAGTTAATGTTAGAAACCATCGCCAGGCAGTGGTGGCGCACGCCTTTAATCCCAGCACTCGGGAGGCAGAGGCAGGCAGATCTCTGAGAGTTTGAGGCCAGCCTGGGCTACAGAGTGAGATCCAGGACAGGCGCCAAAGTTATACAGAGAAACCCTATCTCGAAAAACCAAAAAACAAAACAATCAAGCAAACAAATACCAAAAGACAATCTAGGTGTCTTGAAAGAGAACACACAGAAAGAATATGAAAATATCTCAGCAAGGTGATAATTTTTGCAAAAAGGGTGCACCAGTGTCCAAGCCAGGCTAGTAACACACCAGGACAACACTTTTTTTCTGTGATGTAGATGGTGACTGTGTTTCATCCCATTTGTGGGAATTCAACTTCACAATCCAACCAGATTGATTAATTGATATGAAGAAGATTCAGGAAATGTGAGTTCTTGCCAGGCACAAGTACCTTTGCTTTAGAAAAAAAAAATTCTCACAACAGGGCACTGGTGATGGACCAGAGAAACGACCCCACCCACGTCTACTTACTGAAACGGCGAGTTTGTGGACTATGGATGAAGGGGTTCCTGCAAAGATGAGCAGCTTGAAGAACTCTCTACACCCGGTTTTATAAGCTGGTGGCCAGAGGAGGTCCAAAATAGGAATCTCTGGCCAAACAGGGAGTCGTGGAGGGGCTGCCCAGGGCCAGGAACAGGGGAGAGGCGTTAACTTGGATCAGAGAAGCTAGGCAATGCTGGCAGCCTGATGATTGCAGGTCAGCACAGGAAGCCTGTATGCATCCCCAAGCCGAGCGTGGCTTCTTTTGCCCAGCAACCACTCACTGTAATCAGCTTGCAGAATCTGGAATCACCTGGGAAGGGAGTCTTAGCGAGGGAGTGTCTACATTAGGTTGCCCTGTGGACATGCCTGTGAGGAATTTTCCTGATTGGGTTAGTTGCGTTGGGCACTCACCTTGAATGCGGGTGGTGCTATGTCATGAGCTGGGCCCCTGGACTGAAAAGGGGGGGAGCTCCCGAGCACAGGCATTCAGTGATCTGCTGCCTGACTACGGGCACACTTTGACCAACTGTACCACTGTGGCTTCCTGGAAATGATGGCCCGTAACCCAGAGCCCCTAAGTTGCTTTGGTTGGGGGTCTTTTATCACAGTGTTAGAAGTTATTTCCCAGGTCACAAAGAAAGAGACCACCACCATAACTGAAGTGTCTGGTCTGCGTCTTTACTTCTGCACGAGAGTGATGACTCACAAAAGTGGCGGCACACAAGTACGGGGACGGGGGGTCCTTCCGGTTTTACCCCTGACGTCAAAGGGAAGCTGGACTGTTCCTCATTGGTCGAGGTCCAACCACAAAGTCCAGACCTGAGTTGCTAATCAAAGAATCAACGTAAGATGGGGAAAACAAAAAAACAAAATTAAAGCGCAAGTTGTTTTCTGTGTGAGTAAGGAGGAAGTACGGTCCGGAAATGGTGGCTTGGAGCCAGTCAGAAACTGAAAAAAAAAATAACTTTTGTGGTTTGGTAAGGGAGGAAGTGGGGCGTACTTTGAAAGAAAAGATAATTGTTTGTTGCATCTGAAAGGAATACTGGAAAAGAAACTGAGCCAAACACTGTACGAATCATAGCTACCTGTCGCCACCTCCCATCTTTGAAGGAGGTCACTGAGGCGAACAGTGAGTCTACCTCAGATGCAAGAGCAAGCTCACGATCAAGAGAAGCCCAGCATTTGAGGAACTTGGATGTGGGGGGAGAAAAAGCACCCGGTTACCCAGAATGCATTCATATCTGAAGAAACAGCTTGTAGGGGCGACAGACCTGGGCATTCCCACAGCTGTGACTAGATGCTCTGAAAAATCCAGACGTCCTGGGAATTAGAAACTTGATCACACTTAATTACTGGAAACCGAAACTTAGTCAGTTGAAGTGAGGAACAGAAAGGCCGCAGTAGAAAAATGTGTTAAAGGTCCGGAGTCATCTAGACTGCCCTGCGGAGTAATGAAGGGATGAAATAGAGACCGTGGGTCAAGGAGAATGGTGTGGGAGTTCCAAAGCGGGTCACTAGGAACTGAAAAAGAAGGAAATAGAGATGCGGGAGGGGACGCTTGAAGGAAGATCGGAGAAGCATGACTTCCTTCCTGAGAGGCGAAAACAGAAGGCCGTTGGTTTGGAAGAGTCCAGGCCCAGTCGGGCACAGAAAGAAATTACAAATTGGAGCTCATGCCTATAATCCTAGAACTTGAGAGGCTGAGGCAGGAGGATTGCTCTAGGTTCAAAGCAAGCCTGGGGTACATAACAGGTACCAGAGCTACTTAGCAAGATCTTGTCTCAAAAATACCCACCCCTACACTTGTCTCCAAAAAAGGAATAAACGAATGAATGAATACAGGAAGGAGGTAGGAAGAGGAAAGGAAGTGGAAAGGAACTTATATCAAGTTGTCTAAGTACATGGATTTATATGTGGAATGCTGAGGCCCAGTCATTTTTCTTCTACCTTCTTCGAGGCTGAGACGTTGGGCTGGAGAGACAGACCAGCAGTTAAGAACACTTGCTGCTCTTATAGAGGACCTGGACCTGATCCCCAGCACCCACATGGTGACACACTGCCTGTAACTCCCTTCCAGGGGATCTGATGCCCTCTTCTGTGCTTTGTGAGTACCACACACACATGGTTCATACATGCAGGCAAAGCACTCATATACATAAAATAAAATAAATGAACATTTTAAAAAGAATGTTTTTCTTACAACATTTTTTTTAACAACATTCTTACAACAAGATGTCCGGCTCCACTTATAACTCCAAGTAGAAGACTGACAGAGCATTTTCTAGAACACTAGCAGTCCAAAAGAAAAGATCTAAAAGTACTGACACCAAGTCATTCCCAGGGGTCATCCAGCTTGGTCCCTTTTAGTCCCTTGTCCCGCTTCACAGGGCTAAAGCCGAAGTGGCTTGTCCCGCTTCACAGGGCTAAAGCCGAAGTGGCTTGTTTATGCTTTAGTCTTGAACCTGAGCAGATATCCATGAATTTCCAGACATCTCAGGAAACCTCCAAACAAGAAGTATAAAAGTATAATTTGAAGCCAGGCGTGGAGGCTCATACCAGCAATACTAGCAAGGCTGAGGCAGGAGGATTGTGAGTTTGAGGCAAGCCTGGGCTATGTAGTGAGATCTTGTCTCAAAAACAAAAGAAGTAAAACTAAATTAGGTTGCAGTAGAAGACAGAGAAAACAGGCAGGAGCCGATGTATTTATTTCCTTTGAAACATGTGGGAGTATGCAGATACCCCTCCACCTACCATGTGGCTCTGGCCCAGTGACCCAGCCTAGGTTGAAAACATCATAAGTCAAAAATGCATTGAGTCCTTCTGGCCTGCTAAACATCCTAGCTTGCAATACAGTCTGCAAGTGGGGAGCAGATGCCTATGAGAGTCAATCCATCCCTCCACAGAGACATCAATCCATTCTCAACCCCCAAGGACCAACATCTCCCGCAAGGCCCCACCTCCCAGTGGCAATCCATTTCAAACGAGTGTTGGAGGGGACAAACC